TTCTCCCACTTGCGGAATAGCCTGAACCTGACTTCTGGGACACCCTGCAAAACCGTGCTCTTGAAAAAGGATGATTGAGCTTGATGCAGGAGATGCGTGGATTTTTATTTAGCAAGCGCTAGGGATTTTTGGATAGTCTGCAATACATGAACTTTCATAGACTGAAAGATGAAAAGATGAAAGGTGATGACTTGCTATCATCCACCTGGGTAATGAGGCTTCCTGAGTAGCAATTTTGGAGAAGACAAAAATTGTTTTTAAGCATGTTTAACATGTGGAAGAGTGCACAATCTAGAAGAAGAGCAGTTTGTCAGCCATACCGCATGTGGATGTGAGCCGAGTGAGATGGAACTGGCTTTGTGGTTAGGGGCCCCAACAGAAACCTGGCAGATCTGGACTCAAGCTTCTTGTGTGACCTTGTCCTCGAGGTTATTTAAACATGCTGTGCCTCAGTTTCCCATCTGTTCAAAGCGGATGGTGAATAATTTTCTTCCCTGCAGGGATGTTGCGAGTCTCAGCCCATGAATGCCTAGGAAGTGCTCAAATACCAGGGTGATGCATGATGGCTCGAGCAGTTTTTGGTAGGGCATAATGGATAACTGCAGTGGAACAGCCCAACTTTGAGTGGCATTTTGTTGCAGGGAGACATCCTGTGGGATCTAAAGGGAAAGAGAAATTAATTTCTACATCATTCAGCTAAAACCTGTGAAACACACTGGAGGGCTTTTTTTAATCTTGTTTGTGCCTTTTGCTTGCAAAAGGAGCTGTGATACTTTTTGGGCTCGTCTTGCTTTCCGTAGCCCTGCTTAAAATTCTTTCCAGCTCTGTAAGAACTGGGATTAGCTGATTTTCTTCTTTTACCAGCATTATGGATGAGAGTTGGAGCTTGGCATTGTGCCATTAGGTGAGGAGAGATTCAGAGCTCTGCAATAACATCAGTTTTGGAGCCCTCTAATATAGGCTGACTGATTTTTGGATATGATGCATGGGAGGACATTTTGCATGGTTTAGCAGTATACGATGCACTTGAGTGCTTTCTTTGACTCCTAAGCAGTGCTGCTCTCAGCATGACTCCATAGCCCTGTATTTTTAAAGAGGGTCAACTCTGCTAAAGTTGTCATTTCTGATTAAAAAGGAGGCAGGTGCTTTGTACTGCTATAACATTTGTTTTCCTCTCATTCAGCACCACAGTGGAAATTGGTGGGCTATTCTGCTAGTCTTTCATGAGTTTATGGTACAAGGGCTTTTTATAACCCGTATGAATGCAGGTGATGTTTGTTTCTGACTTTCAAGGAGAATCTGTTGGGAATGACCCAGAAAACGTGTGCGTCTTGAAAGGGAACTCTGGACCTTTGAAGCACCCGGGGAGGTTATCTTTGTAGGAAGGGTACAACCAAAATGAAGGCAGCAGGTTTGATTTAGGTGGGAAGTTAAACAGGTTTCAGAACTGGAAGCTCCAGGATTTGGTTCCATTATTTGTCAGACTGCACCGGTTATCACAGGAGGGTAGATTAGCCATTGTCTTGAGCTGAACCCTTGGAGGACAGGTATTAACTATGTTCCAGTTCCTCAGACCTGTAATATTAGCTTACATTTATGTTCAGTGTCTTCCACCCTCATCAGCCTCCAACTATGTATGGAAATACCAGGATCTCTTCACCAACCATGAAAATGCAACCAGCTCTGGGGAAGATTGCTGCAAGGACATAACATCTCTTAGTAACACTACCCACAGTTTGATGCGGAACAGTTGGACAACACTGAATCAGTGTTGCATTGTACGGGGAATCTGAGGAAACAATTGAAGTGCCTAATTGTGATATATCCAGGACATCAAGGATAACACCCTTTCTTCTCTTTCAAGTAGTACCTAGGACTCTTTAATGGCTTGAAGTGGCCAGAATTTGGGGACTGACTCACCCAAAAGATGTCAGTTCCTGTAAGGCAGAGCCCCCAAGCACCATGCGGAGTGACTGAATCAGTAGTGAGTCAGAAGGGAAGTCTGCCATCACTTCCTGCAGCTCCGCTCTGTTTTTCCTTGAAATTTTCACAGCCAAGTGCGAAGCAAGCCAGAGCATATTTGTCACGTAATGTCTTTGGCAATCACTGTGCAAGGTTATCCGGCTTTGGTGAATTAAAACAAGCATTTTAAGCATGACTTTTGCTGAGTGTGCTGCTGCTTTCTGCAATATTTTGGGTAATGGAACTCATTTTACTCTCCCAAACTTAATTGGGTGCATTGGGCAAAGTATTGAAAGGCTCCCCTGACATTTGAGCTAACTTCCAGGATAATATTTTATTCTGAGTCCGTTTGACCAGGGTAGCAGCTTCCTTTCTGTTTTCATCCCCTGCGCTCACAAGACATCTTTATATAATGGCTTTTCTCTGTAACCCGTGATGCCACAGCTGTTTGTTTGAGACATCATGTCTCAGTGCCACGGACTTGAGTGAGGATGGGGATGGTGGAGGATAAGGATAAGGAACATTCTGTTTACAGGCACTTTTTCTTGGCAGTCGGCAGCTACGAGCGAGGAAATGCAGAGCGTCTGTTACTAGTTAAGTGGAGATTTAGCAAACGAGGCTGTCTGTCTCCAAGTTAGCAGGGAAGTGGCAGGGGCTCATTAAAAGAGGGCTCAGAGCATTCCCTGCATCAGTCTCTTCTGAAGCACGGTGCCGGTCCTGTTGCTGTCCCAGCCCTGCTTAGAGAAAAGCCGCAAGTGCTGGCTGTACCGGTTTCATTACAGTGAATACCAAGCAGATCTCCAGTGAGGGGCCATGCTCCAGAATGGGTGATTCTCCCCCAATCAAATGCAATCCGTTTTTATTCATTCGCTTGCCTTTGAGGTGGTGAAGGCACCGCTGAGACATCTGAAGTCTAAGTGTATTTATGTCTCACTTGTAGTGCATCACTGGAAGTTCCCAAAGGAGAGCACTAAATAATAGCTCTGTAACGCATGCAGTTTGGGGAGAAGCCTCTCTGCGGCTGACCCCGAAAAGTGTGCTTTGCTTCCTGTTTTTTCAGAAACTGAAGCAAGTGCTTGACACAGTGACATTTTCTCCAGCTTCGCTCTCCTGACTGTCTGGGTGTGTGGGGGAGGCTTGCAGCTGGGAAGAAGCAAGTCATAATCAAAAGCTTGCTGCTTATGAGGCATCTGCCACAACACTGTGCAAGAAAAGAGGCTGGCAGATCCATTTGCCTTGTGGCACGTGCGCTCTGCTGCCAGGCAAGAGTCTGCGGTTCAGTTCTTGGGCTCCTGGTGTGTAGCCTGGAGGGGACTGAGACATGCTGAGTAGACAGCGCAGCCAGCCTGGTGGGGAAAGGAGCGCTTCGCGTGCCACTGTCTGCTGCCATCCTGTCTGATTTCTGTAACTCAGCAGGGCTAGGTCAGGTCGCTCCTTGGATGGGAGCCCTCCAAAGAGAGCTGTACAAAATAGTGTTGGTCAGTCACTAAACGTCCGTCTTCTTTTTGAGTAAGTAATGCATGAATGCCCAGCAGCCCCTGCACGTTGGAAGTGTGTGTTATGCTTCTCTTTTCCAGGAGACAAATAGGCAGCCTTGGGCACTGCAGTTATAAAATCTAATGTCTCTCTTTGTATGACAGGGGACACTAAATCCCATCTCCAGTCTGATTCAGGTAAAAACATAGTGCCACCCTCCATTCCCCCGCAGTTTCCAGCAGGGATGCTATTTCTTCCCTGTTTTGTAGTGTGGCTGTGCACTGACCACACATTATTCCAGCAGTGTGTGTAGGAGATCCCTTGGCAGAGCTGCTATATGATTTCAAGGTTTCTTTATGATGGAAGGTATAAACGATCAGCCATGGAGCTTTTCAGCGAGAGCTGCCGTGTGTGATCATGGCTGCAGCAAGCGTCTTTGAAAGTGGGGTGTAAAACATGGAGAGGATGAGGGGAGATGGGAAGTTCCTAAGGCTCCAGCAGTGAGCATGGGGTCCCTCCACAACAAGGAGCCCAGCTCTCTGGGGTTCTTGCTGGACCATGGGGAGTTGGTGGGAATACTTCCCTGTTCATTGGACGCACAGGTGGCACAACCATGGAGAGGTCTGGAAAGGGTTCCTTCACCATCTCCCCAGGTAACCCCCCAACCCACAGCACTGCTGCCCGGGGTGTTGCTGGTGCTGGGATTTCAACATTTGGCTGTTGAGCCCCTCGGGGGTCTGGCTGCCTGCAGTTTGAGGCTGTCAGGAGACTTTCTCTGTAAGCGTAAGGGCCTTTTTCTGAAATCTGAGCTTATGTTCTGCTGGGACTGATGGCAAGTGCATCCCACCCCTCCCCTCCTTAAAGCCACTGTTCCCTAATTACAATCGGAGATCACTCCGCTCATCTTCAGAAATGCCGGAGAAAAGGGCTACTGCTGGAGAATTGTGCTGGTCATTTTTTCTCACTTACAATTACCTGGCCGGGGAGTATTCTAGATAGAGCAAACTGCAGATCTAACAGGACTTTGTATCTCCCCGTACCAGCTTTCTGAAACTCTGGTCCCTTTAATTGCTAGAGAAATTCAATTGGTGTTTTAAATTTTTAAAAATTGTATAACTAAGGTGTTTGATCTTGACACGTTGCTCGTACTCTCTCCCCCTACTGCAGTGCCAGATCTCTTCAGGGAAACCCAGCCAACACAGATCATTATTCTGCTAGCATATACTTACTCAGCTCTAGTGTCTTGCTCCTTCTCCCAAGGGACTGTGCTGGATGACTGTGAACCCTTTTTTCTCCCTTCTCTGTGTTGGGAAACTTGTCACTGTGACAGTTACAATACCACAGGCTTGACACTGTGACGATGGAAAACACTGCATAATCATGAGTGCGACAAATATTGAGAGCCCTGTTTGATTCTCGCTATGCCATGGCAAAGTTTTCCATCCAAACTTCATTTTATAAGCAAAAACTCTAATAAAGAAACCCTCTCCCTTATTCTTTGCACTGAGTCCTGTCATTAAATATTTAATTAGCATGATTTATTTTTCTTCTGTTCTCTGCAGGTTTTGCATGCAGAAGAGTGTCAGACTGGTGCCAGGAGTCACACTGGATTTAATAGAAAAGTAAGCAGGATTTTATGACATTAAAACCACTCTGATTTTCCTGATTTCCATTTTCTGTGTTGGTTTTGTGGGGAGGAGGAAATAGTTTAGCTGGCTGTCCTCGGAGGCCCTTTGTTTGCTTGCAGGCATGCACTTTGAGGCACTTATGCAGCACAAGCCTCACTGTGGAGGTGCTGAGTCCCCCTCACTTTCTGTGCTCCCCTTTTCCACACGGTTAGCCAGCATCCTGCATTCAGCCCTTGCTGGGCTCAGCTGACCCCTGTTGCCTTTCCTGCTTGGTGCAGGGGGATAGACTCGATGATCTTCCAAGGTCCCTCCCAGCCCCACAAACTATGAATCTATGAATCCCCTTGCTGTTGGGGTCTACTGTATTGCCTTACCACATGCTGGTGGAACGAGCAGTAATTGCAATAGCAAGAAATGTGGTCAGTAACTGGTTAGCAGGCAGCACTGTGGACAGTATATGGAGTATTACATTCTCCCAAGTGCTTTGCTCGGCCCTTTCAGCTGGAAGTTCACTTTGGTCTCATTTTTGACACCATCGTCCTGCGGTAGCCTGAGAACAGTGGCGATCCCAAATCTGGATCACAGTCACTTTAATGGCGGTTCAGTGTTGTCAAGGCCCGCAGCTGTTCTGGGCGCACATTGCTAACATAAAGAGAATTTATCAAGGTGATTGACAGGGATGTTAGATAAATGCTCACCGCCTTTCATTAAGCCTCAGCTTATGACTGACATAGCAAAGAGTGTCTGAATTCAGGTGCACCAGTTAGGAAGGTGCATTGCTGGAAAACATGGGAGCTCAGAACTGGAATCCCTGGGGCAGCAGTGGTCTGGTGCTTCGATGCTTTGGCAAAGGTGTGCGCAGGTCTGGCATAACAGAGAATACTGCAGACCGGGAGAGCTGCATTGGCAGAGCTGTTGTAGGGGCCTGGCGCTGGAGCTCTGCAGGGGAGGTGTTCACAGTGCTTGTCTAAGCGACGAGTGCTCCTAGCCACTGCTATCCTTCTCTTTTATGAGCTGTAGGATCTATTCAACACCCCAAGCCTCTGACAAAACAAAGAAAGTAGAAAAAACAAAAGCACGATTTTTTTCCCACTTCATCAGCAGTGTTCTAATGTTCCTTCTGCCTGATAGTGCTGTTATATTTTGGTCCTTAATGGCATTGATACCCATTATAATGTTTTCATTCAAGCAATATTTGACCATAACTGCAAGTTATTAGACAGCCCAAGACAAACTGATTGACAAAGTGAATTGTTCTTCAAAATCTCCAGTTAATATAAACTACCCAGGCAATAGAAAAGTTAAAATCCAAACTCATCCACTGCATTCTTTGTTTTCGGTAGGTTCTTATAGGATGCTTATTTTGCCCACCTGGAAGGTAATAGATATTTGCGTTCTTTATGTGCATACTTTCTGAAATCTGTGCCACATGGTTAGTATTTCTGAACCTCCTCTTCTTAGGAGATTGTTGTGTACCCAAGTTAAATTACTTTGGAGCAATTAATAAAAGATCATTCAATTTCTGAAATGTTTGCCTTTAGAAGCACTCATTGTCAAAATTAATTAGAACAGGCCAGAGACTCATACTTCTGGCATGTGCCTGTCCAGAGCCAATTATTCCCTTCACCTGATGAGACAAAACCTGAAGAACTAGAGGGCATTCTCTCTGGACTGGCAGGGATGGTATCGGGCTGTTCAAATAGTGCGGGTACAATAGAAGTATTTTCTGGTGTCCTTTCATTCTTTTCTTGAAGGCTTCTGCAGGGCGCAGTGGTATACAGGTATCCTTCATGGCTCTGACTGCCAGAAGCAAATGATCTTTTATAGTAATGGTGATGAGGGTAGGATTGCATCAGCTAAAATTCCTGGTTCAGTTCTGGCCTTGGTAAAGCACCTCCGTGTTAAATAACCCACTCAACTCGCCCTCCGATATGTTTTAAGCTGCACTTCCATGGCACTGCCTCTGTTCATTGTACTTGAAGAAGCAGGTGGGTATGAGGCACGCAAGCACCTTTTCAGGTGCTCAGCATAAAGTCATGCTCACCCTACAAATTAGATCACTATGGAAATGTGACGACACCTTCCCCATCTCCAGTTTAGGTCAAAGGAGCCGAGCTGTAGTTTTATAAATCTTAGTTTTGAAAGCCAAAGTATAACTTACTATTAAAATCTGCTGGTTTCTGACTGCTGTGAGAGAAGGCCAAGGAAGCTAGATGGCGACTACCCTGGCTGGTGCTGGGCAGTGCACAGGCACAGATTGCAATGCGTCTCCTAAGATTGCTTCCTACATGCCTAATGCAGTGTCTAATTATATTAGGCATTCACTCACATGTTTGTAAGTGAGGATCCAGTCTCAACTGTTCACTAGAACTGATGCAACAGGGTACTCGGGTAGTGACAGATCACATAGAGAAACAGAGATATCTTTTCAGCTCACCATATGTGAGGATGGAGAACCAGGTCAGAAATCTGTTAGTTAAAGTAAATGTAAAGTAAGAAAATGAGTTTAGCACTCCTCTCCACTTCAGAACTGTGTTACTTTGCAGTTCGGCACAGCTTGCTGGTTAGGGAACAGAGCTTTCTGGTTGTTTTTTTTTTAAATTGCATCATTGTTGAACACAGCTAGGTTTTTTTCTTGTTTGCAGTACACTTCATAGATTTTTATTGCAGTGTACTAAATTGCATACTACACACATGGCAAGCATGCTTATTTTGATTGCTCCAGCGTTTTCTGTAAGGCGTGAACGTCAAATGATAGAATTAGAAATCCAGGCCATTTAATAACTAGTGGCCTGGACAGAGTGAAAGTCGAAGGCAACAGCCTTGTAACGTATGAATAGTTGGAAGTGGCTCATGGATAGCTGGCTGGCTTTCTGATTATTGAAGGGTAAAGATAACCTGCCTGCCTCAGCAGAGCTACCAAAAGTTGCTGTTCAAATTATTTTCAATAATGATGTCAGGCAGGCGGCAGCTAGACTTCCCCACTGGATGTTGTCCCGTGGCACTGCATGCCACTTGCCCTTGTTGAAAATGTGTGCATTTTAAGAAGAAGAAAGTAGATCTGCATGGAGGTTAAACTTGTTTCATCTAGAACATGTGGTGCCTGCTAATGCTGTTTGAGGGCTTGAGGGGAAAGCTGGGATGTGAAGTTGAAAGTTGCTTAATAATAGAAAAGCATGTGGTGCCATGAGGTTTGTCCACTGATGCTGGGGGAGGAAGGGGAAAGGGTTTTGTCATCCTGAGCAGCTCTGACTTTGCATTGCAAAGCTGACTTTGCATTGTGAAGCTGAGCCAAGAGGTTCTGTTTTAACAGTGATCTAATCCTCAGTAAAAGTGGAGATTTCCTCAAGGCACTACGTAAGTGTATTTAAAGCATGACATACGGCATAAGTTCACTGTTAGGAATATTCCCTGTAAAAGGGTGTCTGTCTGCCTCTTCTGCATCAAGCACTAGCTTCTTACTCATTAAAGAAGTTAGAAGAGAGAAATAACAAGCCCTGAAGGACCAATATCTGGTGTGAGACCTAAAAGCCTCCCATCCTACTGGAGTGAGTACACTCTAGACCTGTGATTCCCATCTTGTCGGACCTAAGACACCCCTCAGACAATGCCAGCTCTTCGCTGTCACTTGTTTCTTGACTAGGAAATATAAAAGAAGAATTCTTCTGTTGCAAAGAACTCAGAAACACCATGGGAGGTCAGAGTGTTTTTAACACTGTGGATTACTGTTTGAAATCTCTGGGTTTATCTAGTGAGTCCTGTGTAGTAGGGCTGTGCGAAATTTTGCCGGCTGTTTTGTTTTGACGTTGTTTCAACTCATTTTGAGCTCAAAAGAGCGAAATCGAAATGTAGGGCTTCAAAACAGCCTCAAAACAAAACGAGGCTAGTCAAAACATTTTGAAAGTTTTGAAACCTTTCGAGTTTCAAAGGAGCCAGCAGTCAGGTGGTGGGAGACGGGGGAGAACCAGGGCTGCGCTCCCAGCGGCTCCAGGCTCAGCCAGGCGGGGAGCGCAGCCCTGGCTCTCCCCCACTTCCATGGCCAGGCTGCAGGAAGCCGATCGCAGCGCAGGGGAAGGCAACTGAGCCCGATCGCTCGGTTCCCTTCCCCAGCCTGATCGATCCCAGTGTTAGGTAGGGGAACTGAGAGATCAGGCTCAGTCCTGTTCCCTAGCTCCTCGGTCCCAGGCGGCAGCACCCAGCTTCCTCATCTGGCAGGTACATTAGGGGCCTGCAACCCCAGGAGGACTGGCACAGCCCCCACAGCCCTCCCAGGATTGGGCCCTGACCTGCCTGCCAGATGAGAGAGGTGGTTTTGAGCTTCCCCATTATAGCTTATGGGTGAAACGTCAGAACAGCATGACTGTTTCGACAGAATGGAACAGCAGTTCCAAATCGAAACAAAATATGAAATGAAACACTGTTCTGTCGAAACCTCAAAACGCAAATCAAAACAGAACGGTGCCATTTCGCACAGCCCTACTGTGTAGGTGTTTGCACACCCAACAGTGCTAATATTGTGCCGGCACCCTTGAAAGGATCTCATGGCACCTGAGTTGAGGATCACTGCCGTAGGCAGAGGCATATATTCCAAGAGCAGCCTAAAAGTGAACGCCCTCTGTTAAATGATGAAATGGCATCAGGACTAGTGTGTAAAGGATCAACATGACCACTCGTTTGATGAATAAGAGAGAGGCTTTATTGACTACAGCTACTCACTATTGAGTGAGCCTAAAGCAAAGGATGATCAGGTGGGTGCAGCAGTTCTTTTTTGTCAGAAGGATTTCTCATTCCTGAAGCGTGCACTGTTAGCTGCTTCGTTCCTCCTTTTATACCCTTTCGCTCAGCATCTTCAAAGCATTCTTGTAGTTGTGTAAATCAAGAGACAAATCCAAGCAATAATTAGCAGGAAACGCCTGTGAATCAAAACTGTTCATTTTCGGTTATCAGAAAGTCCCAAATCTGATTGAATTACCTTCCTCCATAACAGGAGGTTA